TGCTACCATTTCCTTTCGAAGGATTTCCATATCTCCGATGAAGAGCTCATCTTTAGCTGGAGAGAATCTCGCTTGCTGAATATATGGCCACTTCTTCTGAAACCGTTTGAACAAGCCAACCTCAGGTCCCCCTGTTCCACCAAAGAGAGCTGTAAAGACATTGCTCAGAATGACCTCCAGAACATGGTGGCGGCAACCAATATTTACAAGATCACGACCAACTGCTTTCTCAATGAGAACACAAGCTCCTTTGTGGATACCTGTGTTGGACGAGGTTGTGTCAAGGAATAAACCCTGAAGTTTGTCTCGAATTTTCCAATCATCCAAGATCTTTAAGCAAGCTGCTGCTTGTTCCTCTCCTGTTCCTCTTCCAATTTTTGGAACTGCTAGCAATTTCTCCAAACCATTTCCAGTTACAATCACTGCAATTCGGTCCACGGTTTCTTTTGAACCGGTGATATCTGGAAGCAGTTTCCCATCCCAGTGTAGAAGCAAAGGAAATTCAATGAAAAAGTTGTCTTTGTCATTCTGAGTCACGTATTTACGGGTAGACATTCGAGATCTCCTGATTGTACTTCGAGACAGATTCAAGTCTGCAAGAGGATGTCCCAGTGCCTTTGCCACTGAAGCGACAACGAACATAGCTTTGCGATCAGGAAGGTTAACTCTGTCCAAAGCTCCAGCAACTTCCGGGCTGGAAACAATACTCTTCAGACGCTTTGGCTTTGGTGTAGAAAAAACCAATTGCGATGCAGAAGACAGAATCTCAAAACTTGGGTCGTCATCGCTGTCTTGACTGTCTTCTGAGCTGCTGATGTTGGCTGAGACAGGATCGAGATGACCACTGGAGTGTTGCTGTTTTGATAACCTTGCATCATATGCTTGATATCGAGCTCTCTTCCGGGCTTCCTTTGCCAGTAAGTTCTTATCAATTCCAGCCATGCTGCAGCTGGTAACATCTCGCTGCATTGCAAGAAATTGCCTATCTTCAGCAATGGTTATTGTCTCCATTGCGGTTTTAGTTGCCAAGTCAAAAAGCTCGTAAAGTGTATCTTTGAACATCTGTTCTTTAATTCTACTGCTTTCCAGGTCTGTAGTTCGATTCTTTTTTAGGAGCAGATAGGAATTGTATAATTTCTGAAGTTTTCTTTCACCAGAATCAATTCTTTGTGTTGGGATTCTTGCCTTATTCCACATAACAATCAGCTCTTGAATCGTATGGTGAATGCTGTCCTTTATTGTGAGATGCTCTTCCAGATAATGAAAGAGGAGACACCGGAGGGCATCTCCATTTGTTGCCAATCTTGACGAGGAGAGCTGCTTAGATGCTTTCCCAATGAGCCATACCTCTGCAGAGCTTCTTGTAGTAACTGCCATAAGTGGTGTAATATATATTTTTATTATTTATTAATTACCTGCAGAAGTTTAAGTTGAAATGATTCCTTGTTCTTCAACTATTTAGTTTTATAAAATTATTATTTAGTACTTTATATTATTAACATAATTTGTTTTGAAATATTGCAGACATGTGCTTAATACAAGATGGTCACTTAATCATGTGACAATTGATAAAAGATATTAGATATATAAATGAATTTTTATAGCATATTCTTTTTGAAAACTATTTAATTTAATAATAATTTATTTGTAATTCATTATATTAACTATATAATAAATATATATAAAATATAATACTTAAGTATAAGAATATTTGTTACCAGAAATAAAAAAATAATCCTTATAAAATTTTTATTGAAATACTGCAGACATGTGCTTATTACAAGATGGCCGCCAAATCATGTGACAATAGACAACTAAAAGATATTAGATATATAAATGAATTTATATAGCATCTGCTTTTCAGCAAGCATTAATTTATTTACCACAATGTTGAGATAGATGTTCAATTATGCAAAACTTACACAAAAATTCGTAAAAATCGAGTACCGTCAAAAAAATGTTGAAATCATAGCGACCCCTAAAACTGTTCAGATTGGTCCAATTTTTTGTATGGTTATTCCCTAAGCATAGTGGAACAAAGTTAGGCTTGTGGAGAGAATCTAGACACACTTTGAATTTTCACCACACAAATCTGGACCACCCTAATCTAGTCATACATCACTATGTATGGCTAGATAACCATCCAGCCATAGTGATACCAGCCATAGTGGCTTGATAACTATCCAGCCGTACATAGTGATGTTCTTTACAAAATTTATTAATTTTTTTGTTGGTTAGAGCATCAAACAAATTATTAAATAACCGAATAGAGTTCAAATCCAGTCAACACCAACTCAGTGCTTAAGTTGTAATTCAGTACGCTAAAATGTTAGTCATTGACCGACGTAGTTAGCCATTCCAGATGATATTCTTATAAACTATATATTCAAATATATTTGATGTCATGGTATAGAGCTTAGTTTAGCTTAAGAAATTAGGGGTCATTCGGTCTTTAAAGTTAAGCGGATTAAAAGTTATTGAACTTTTTGTAGTGAAAAAA